GCATATACACACGTAGATCAAAAATTCTATTTTTATACATGTACACAAATATTTGTTGTAACTTTCAATTTATAATACAGATTTCAATTGCTAACTTTTCTACATAGTTGTTCCTATCAATATTTAAATATTTTAAGATAGAAAATGAAATTTGGAAAAAATTATCTTACTCAGATGTCCAGTCTATCTTGTTGGACAGTTTTGATACAAATATAACATTCTTTCAATATAAAATATTTCTTTTTATACAAAAATGAAAATTGTTTTCTTTTATACATCACAGAATCCATTACAAATTACACATGATAGCATGTTTTAGTATGACACTGATTTAAATCTAGAAAGTAGGAATATTTTATTTTCTTCTTTAGAGGTACACAGCAACTTCTGTATTGTATTATTGGCCCTAAAATGAACAAAATTTTGAAGACAGATAATTTAGAATTAGAAAAAAAACCTAAGTGTCTGCATGATCTACTTACTTTTATGTTTTTGCATGTTTACTAGCATTTAATTTATTTTATAAATGTTCATAGTTTCCCCATTTTTTGTACATTCTCACACTCTAAAATATTATAGTAGATTTAATGTTTTGCATGTTGATGGCAAACAGCTATTTCCGTTGTTTTATAAGTTTTAGAAATGCTTTTAAGTAAATATTTGTAAGTGTATTTTGTATTTTACCCAAATACGACTTGGTTGAATGAAATAGCCATAACATTCCAGGTTCTGCCTCATTGGGTCTCTAAGCAAACACGAATCTGAATACAACACAACTAGGGTCTAAAAAGAAAATTCAAGGTAAGCAAATGTCCTTGGTCCTTCTCCCACTTTGTTGTGCTCTGTTGTGTTCTGTTTTGTTTTGTTTTGTTGCAATTGTCTTGTAGTTTTGTTTTAGGGTATGTGACATTTATTCATTATTTATCAAGATGTATGTTTCATGAAATTTCATAATTAGACATATAAAAGTCCAGCACTAATGGAGGATGAGTTTTACCATACATAAAAATATGTTAGCATGTATTATATGTGTTAACTTTAAAATATATGTTAACATTCTCAGCATTAAGATTGTACTAAAATATTGTCAAGTTCAGGGCCTGGACCTGCTGAAGTGTCCCGTGGGGAGCCTTGTCTTCCATAGAGCGGGGGATTGGGAAGGTCCATGTTTGCTTTCTGCTCTTTGCAAAGACCCAGCCCAAGTGCCAGCAATCTGTGGAATCTGAAGCCACTGAAATTCATCTAGGTAATGTCCCACATCTGCTTAGCAGGAACACAGAGGACCTAAGAACAGGCAAAGGCCTTTTGGGAAGTGCCATCAATTCTGTGGTGGGAAGCCTGGCTGGCCCGTCTTGTCTATCTGTATTTGGGTGTGTTAGACACTTTGAACTTCTAGTGAAGATCACAGTAGGAGGTTTGTTCCTCAGAGGCACAGACAAACCTGGACAAGGTGGGCTACCAGACTGGCAAGGGCTCCAGGGACTAGGTGGTCGTGAGGGGAATAGAGGCCTAGCTGGCAGTCCTGTGGCTTCCAAAGTGCCTGGATGCCAACCCAGTGAAAGGGGCAAAAGATAGAAGGAGCCAACCCAAAGCAGGCCTAGCTGAAAGGGCTTCCTAGAGGTATGGTATTTTGTCAATTGGGCATCCCAGTGCTATCCCAGCATGGACCTCCCCTGTGACTGTCCCACTTGCCAGCTGAGCCTTGCAGCCTAGGGAAACTGGGAAACTGGGAAACTGGGAAGACATGGTGTGTTCCTTAGCCATGCTGGGGGCTGGTGCCACAAATCTTGTGGCATTATCACTGTGGGACCTTTATTGTTGGCGGTGCCACATGTATCACTTTGTCTCCAGAACCCTCCGTCATCTAGCTGTCCTGATTTGCTTATTTATCTGTTATCTCTGCCAGTGGGGAGCCAGCCTCGGCAGATGTGGGGGAGCCTGGGGTTCATAGGCTAAGCAACCCCTTCCCCTTCTCCATACAGGTCTTACTCCCAATCCTTATGAGCATCATAGCCCTTACTTTGCCCAAAGTGAGACATTTACAAAAGTAATAAAGATTTTTTTAATAGCAGAAAAATATATATTTTAATAAACTATGTTTTGTGTATTTAAGATAATGATGCTAAAAGTAATGAACACATGATCTCATAAAATAAATCCCACAAGAAACCAAAATCTTACAAAAAATAGAATTTTCATTCCTAATATAATAAAAGTGAATAAATTAAAGTGGTAATTTATGATAATTTGGTGACATTCTCTTCGAAACTTAAAAATAAGTAATTGATAGTCCTTATATTTTCACACTTATTTTTGCATGAGTATGTAGCTTACCTCATCAAAATTAAAGGCAGCTTGTAGGAGGTTCCATTATGCCCAGTTATGTCTATACATCTGTTTTGTTACCAAGTAACATGGGGTTTTTCTTTTTGTATTTGATATTCTATGTCTATATTAGTCTGTTTCAAATTAAATTTGCTTAACATCTCATCTCTTCTAAACTCTTCAACCCTGTCAATTATTCTGGAATTAGGGAATATACTTCTGTGCTCTATCTTACCTTGAAAATTTAGTGTATTTGTATGCATTTCTCATTGGAAGAAAATGTTTTAACTGTGTTCTATTTTCAGAGAAGAACTATTTATACAAACATGGGGACTGTGGAAAGGAAATTCTATAGTGAATTGTGAAAAGTGGACATATTTCTAAATTCATTCCACTGCCTTTATCCAAACTTAAGAATTGCAGACATTTGTTACTTCTCCGGCAAGACATCCCCGCTGCACAATGATATATTCATTTTGTAATTTGGTTGCTGGCCACCAAGTGCTCCTTAGTTTTTAAATACATTTTGAGATTTACTGGAAACTTGAAGAAGAAATTAGTTCCTGATTAAGACTACCCCAACTTTATTTTTATTGTCAGTTTCACTTTTGTTTTATGTTGTTTATGTCTGTTATATAATTGTACATTGTGTGATATGTGAAAAAAACCCACAACTTTAGATGAACCTTATGTTACATATACATTGTTTTCATTATATAGACTGCTTGAGAATAGTGCGTTCCTGAGTGATTTTGAACATGCTACAGTGAAAAGTGAAAATGTGGACCATGGAAACACCAGCTAGCAGTTTTATGGACGACGTATATTTATTGTTTCATTATTATTAAATGCAGTGAAAAATGAGTCAAATTACTAGATGGCAATAAGAAAAATATTTTTCGGTCTTCCCTGTATACCCAGGACTTCCTTTTCATTTTGTATCAAAGGACACTACTGAGTTTCAGAAGTCACTTTGAAATCAGGTATTTTACCATTCAGACGTACCTTACAATAGACATGTTCTTGATTAAGCACTTAGCAGTATGACTGAATTGACAGTTTGAGAAAATACCCTGCATGTCAGTACTGGATATTTGAGTTGGGGAATTTTCCTCTTTATTAGATACATTGTACAAAGCATGCATTCTCAAATACTGCTGTTACTCTTCCATTTCTTTGTGTCCTATGCTTGCTACTTGTAATTTTTTATATAAAGATATATAAAATGTATAATAATTTCCTAATGAGTTCAGAGAAAACTTTTCTTTTGTTGGAGTGATAAAAAACTGACTTACATAAGTATACACTATTTATTTATATCAATTCTTCCCAAATTTTAGAGTACTGAATATACTTTAGGATTAAAGTCTACTTCCCAAATCTTTGATTTCTAAAATTTTATGGACTATATCCTCCTTTTAGAATAGGAAGGTCTTTTTTAAGTGCTTTAAAATCTTAGATCCTTTTGTGGCATAACTTCCACAATTCTGAGTTATTCTTATGCTCAGACACCCATATAACATCCGAAAGCTTAGTGATTATGATACGTTTCATACAAATAAAGCAAAACTCTATAATACATTTAGTTGCTGTTCAATTGTATACACATTTTATAAAGTCTGACCTAGTGAGTGGGTACTTTTTAAAATATCGAATGTGTATTCTTAGAAAATGAATTTTAAGAACCAGTATTAGTATAAATCTTAGCAACGTTTTCAAAACTACTGAATTATACAGTTTAAAAGAATTCTGACCTTCCAACACCAATTAATTTTTGTTTGTTTGTTTGGGATAGGGTCTCACTGTGTAGTTCAGGCTGGCCTTGAACTCACTGTGCAGTTCAGGCTGCCCTCCCATTCATGGAGAGCCTCTTGCCTCAGCATCCCAAATTCTGTGATTATCGGCAGACTTCAAGCCTGCTCCCAAAGGGCAAGTAATTTGATCCACCATAATTCAGACCTTGCAATGCTAGCTGGCTTGACAAACCAAATGAATAAATTACTCTCATGATTAGGAAGTCAAGTTCACGTGATAAAAATAAAGGCAAATCGATGGAAAATAAATTTTCTAATAGAAAAATCAAAGAAATGTAGAATTATCAATGGTCTATATTGGAAACATCAACTTACAAAAATAATCACAGTACCTTGATCAACTGGTGAGTAGGAAAAAATGTAACACATGAAAAATAAAGATTATTTTCATTATCGTCTACATATTTTATATACATTATTTGTGATAAAACTTGCCGTTTTTTATTTGACTTGACTGATTTATTTATTATCATCCTTGCTTTTAGGCCCTTTAATTCAAAGATGATGCACCAAAGATTTTTTTAATAGCCATATTTTATATTGTTTCATCTCTAGGAATCTTCATAGGATCTCTTCACTTTGAATGAACAATCTCAAAAATATGCTATGTATGCTAAGGCTTTTTGTTTATAATACCAGTGAAGACAGTAAGATAAATGAGGTGAACGATTTATCATTTATTTTTCCTGTAGCTATTCATACACAGGGTGTCCATCAACTCCAGTTCTTTCTCGTGATACAGAATACTAATGATTTGTTTATTTTCTGCTTAAAAGATGTTTGCACACAAAAGCTACTAATGGATATTTAATTTTGTAAACAACAAACTCAAAGAAGTATACCGGTGAGGGTGGATATCTTATGCACAGTGTTAATACCTAGTAAGAGCATAGGAAAATAAAAATATTTCAAATGAATAATGGGCTTCCTCGATAGTAATACTAGAATTACTAGTTATAGACACTGAGTCAACAGAAGAGAAGAAATTGATGCTCCTGGAACAGAACCCTGAGGTACCCTGCTATGCTCTAGCAACAACTCTTGGTGCTCACCTTCGCAAGGCAGGGCTCAGGCCGGGCTTGGAGGCCAGGCTTGGAGTCTGAAGAACTCTGGAGGGGCCCATTTAAGGGCCACCATTGAAATTCATCAATACGTTAGAAACTCCTAGTTAGTGAGTACATAGACTTTATTTCCTGAATCGGAACCTTTGGCCTCTATTCACAAATGGCTGACACCTATAGATAAGGAAGGTGATATTTCAAGGTTTTTAAATCAAATTATTTTAATAATTATTTTCATAAAATGAATTCAAATATATTAACACAAGTGCTTTATTAATTAAATAAAATATTTTGAAATACTGTATTAAGTTAGCCTGATATATTAGTTTGGTAAAGTTATTGATTTTATTTTTCTTTGAAATAAAATCTCAAAATCACTTCTCAAAATCTCAGTGACTTAGCTTACTTACATGCAACACTCGGAAGTCCCAGATTAAGTTTTTACCCCTGTCCAACTGCACTTTTGGTTGTCTAATTGAAGTTGGTGTGCTGATCTGGAAATCTGATGCTTTGTAGCTGCTTAAACCCATGCCAGTTTTGTGCATCATGTTGCAAAACAGACATAAATGATTTGCCATAATTCACTTTGATTCAATTAGATAATTAAGATGTGGTGGTACATACCTAGATATCTGTGCATTTGGTCCCTTGAAGAGGAACAGCCACTGTCCTAGAGACGCTGGTCATTGTATGTGATTTTATTTTTTTCAAATTAAAAATATTCAGTGTGTTTAAATGACTGTAGAAGTTATGATTCTCGCTGTTTAAAATTTTTGATTTTTGATATTATTTGAAGATTCACTTAATTTATTACATCAGCTTTTTCTATAATTCTCTAAGGAAGTCAGGTTTTCCTCACATATGGATGAGATTTCCATGCCCTTAGAATATGATGAATTGCAAAAACAATCTTGGTTTACATTACCTTTGTTAAAGTAATAATATACAATCTATCAGTTTTGGTAGTGAAATAAATAATGGTGTTTTATCATGAAGTTTGTATATTTCAATAAAAATGAATATAATATCTCAAATATGGAAGGAAGTTAAATACATAAAAACATTAAAATTCTCTGAATCCTAAATGAATGTAATTTGAAAATGAGTTTCAGTTTCACATCTGCTTTAAAATGTTACTTTCTGTGCATGAATTTTTCCCCCCATTGGCTGATTTCTGCCTATCATAATATGGTACGCAAGACCCAGAAAAGAAATCTTTAAATAGAAAAAAATAAATAAGTAAAATAAATAAAACTTCAATTACTAACTAATCTCTTGGTTATTTAATTCATTTTCCCGATATTCCTTTGAAAAATTGAATAAAGAAGAAAAATAAAAATGTATTGTCAAGTAGTCAGAGATGTTTTTTCCAGTAATTTAGTTCAGTAATTCCAAGGCCCTTGTTAATTTATAATTCTCCTGATTCACTTACTTAATAAATTTGTATGAATCGTGCTATAAATTTTATTAGCTTAACTATATTATTCAAACAAACAGGGTAATAAAAGTAACAAACATAAGTGAATGTTCTCAGACACTCATTTTCCTTGTACCTTTTGGGTCTATGTTCTTGTGAGTTATTAAAGAAATAAATGCTCTTTTAAAAAAATGTCTGTCATTCATTAGAGAAAAGAGAAATAGACATTATCTGCTTCAGACTTCTGCCATCTACTTGGGTGTTTTCCAGAAAGTGCTTATTCTTGAACCATATGATCATATAGTTAATTTGCTCCTTTATATCGAGAGCAACTTTGCAGTCAGCATGTTGTTTGTCCTAGCTTTTACCATTTCTCCAAGCCTGAGATGTGCTGCTTTACAGAGGTTTATTCTTTGCATTTTTTTTTTAACAGGGTCTTGCTATGTTCCAGGCTGGTTTCAAACTCACTGTATGTGACAAGCTGGCTTCTAACTTGTGATGGGATTTCTTTAGTCTCCCAAAATGCTGGGGTGGTCAATGTGAGTGACCACTCCTGGCTTGGGCTCTCTCTTAGTTATAGATGCTGACACAAAATTTTAAAGGGACCAAAAAACAATGTATTAGTTATTCTAAAGAAAGTCTTGCTTTTACAGCTCATTTTAAAATTTGTATGCTGTTGATTTTCCTATAAGTTAAATTTGGTATCAAAGCAGCCAGTCTTTTCTGAGCTTGTACAATGTAGGCATCAAACTTTCTCTTAAGTTCTTTGAAAATGAAAATGGAGAAAGTGATTAAATGGGCAGCATAATTATGGAGACTGATAGAAGAAAGGATGCTCAGCGGAGACACAGAAGGAGAGTAAAGCCCTAGTTTTCTCTTTTGTCCATCTCAAAATACCAGTTACACATCCCTGCATCCCTCCTTGGCACAGCTTGCGAAAGATGCAACATAGTGAACCATCCAGGGAATAGTGTACAGATGATGTTTACCATCATAAGTTAGCAGCACAGTTATGAAATAATACCTTCTCAGGAAGCTCACAACAGGCTTTATAAAGAGCTGATTTTCAGAGCAGGTTTAAAGATAAGGGAGCATTGTCAAACTGAAGTTCAGGGAAAATCTCTAGACTAATGAGAGCAGGAATCATTTTGGAAGATCATTTATTTGAGTTGACAGCACAGGCAGAGACAGGAGGGTCATTGTAAATACAATCATAATAGAAAGTAGGCATTGATGTCACAACTTCTGACTACATTACATGTTTTTCCAGAGAAG